TCTATCATTTACATATTGTGGTTAAGTTTTGTGCTGCAACAAGAGTTGAATAGTTGCAACAGAGACTCTATGACCCACAAGGCCTAAACTATTTATTATGTGACATTTTACAGAAAATGTTTGCCAACCTCTAGTCTAGGAACATATTTTAGAATCCAAAGAAAATCTCAAAACAATCTTATTTGTTATATTCAAACTATTGTTATAACCCAACCAGGTTCATTGCCCACTGCTCGAGAGGAAGCCAATATAGTGAGACAGCCGGTGTTACAGCAGAGAGTTTGATATCACAGGCACAATGTGAGATGGGACGAAAGTCTCAAATCATCTCCCTGAGAATTTGGTAGAAAGAATTTAGTATTTTTAAAGATAGTTTGGTGTATGAATGGCTAGGCAGTTGGATCGGCTAATTGGCTGGGAACAAACTCATAGGGTCAGGAAGTAGAAATTGTCTTCTTGTGCTGAGTTAGTTCCTGGGTGGTGACAGGCAAGCTGGGATTGAATGTCAACCCCAGCCTTAAGTGTTTACCTTAACTGAGCAAACGAGCTACTAGAAACTGAATTTTTATTTCAAAATCCCTTAAGTAGAAAATCTTTTAATCTTTGAACAGACTGTGGCATCTTACGGGGATGTGCTTAAGGCATTGGCCTAGCTACCCAGAACTTTTAAAGAGTAACATTTCCATGATGTGCCTGACAAGTCAATACAAAGAAACCTTACAAAAATCTGCAGCTAGCTAGACACAAGTGTTTCTCAGCTTTCTGGAACAATGTTTCTCAAAAGTGTGATGTGCAGCTCCTCCCTTTAGAAATGGGGCTTATTAAAATCCCAAGATTTAAAAACAACTCACAAAAACAAGAAATTAACAACAAAATCAAGATTTCACTCCCACACCACACTGACAAAATTGTGTTTTTTAAGGAGGTAGAACCTCTGGAATCACATTTTTAGTAACTACCCTAATGATTATGCTCATACCTTTTAAGAATCACTGTCCTACAAGGTTCTAAAAGATTCCATAAGACACCTTAGCTCTTGGCTAACTGCAATTTAGATGTCAGAACACTTTTTCATGTTCTATGCTCAGAGGTGTGCTGATGAATGTTAAATAATTCTCCAGGAAAAAAAAAAAAAGCTTTAAACTGATAGTCTGTATAGCACAGAATTTATAAGTCTTCTTTATTATAAATTACATGTGACCAATTCTCAGAGTGCTTTCTTTGATTTTTTTGCTGAGCTCTTATATAGATGACCAACCTATGTTGCAAATGAAGTGAGAATAACTCTAGTATAAATGTTGGTTGACATTTTTGTTTACACTAAGGAGAAAAGTGAAAAGACACATGTCGGATCTTCACTAAGTTCACCAATGACATGGGCAGCTTTCTTGCTGACTTGGATAGCAGTTTTCAGCTACCAGAGGAATATTTTCTCAACTGTTTTGTGCAAATCACAATGTAACAGCTATTAATACAAACAACAAACATGCAACTTTTTTTTTTTTTGGGAGACAGGGTCTTGTGCTGTTACCTGGGCTAGAGTGCAGTGGTGTCATCATAGCTCATTGCAACCTCAAACTCCTATAGGCATGTGCCCCCATGCCTGGCTAATTTTTCTATGTTTTGTAGTGACAGGGTCTTGCTATGTTGCTCAGGCTGGTTTTGAACTCCTGGCCTCAAGGGATCCTCCTGCCTTGGCCTCCCAAAGTGCTAGGATTACAGGCATGAGCCACCACCACACTGGCTTAATATGCATTATTAACATTTTCTCCATCACTTTCTTAGAAATATACAACAAAAAATCAATAAAGCCCTGGTGTATAGCATTTACTTATTTCCCTGAGGTAAATATTCCCTCTATAGTCAATTCAAGAGTTACCAGTAAGATGTCATTGAATGCAGAGTCAGGAAGAGATAAGCAATACCACACCATTATGTAGCATTTCCACCATACAGAAACAACAGACCTAAATAACCACAAGAGTACACATAGATAATAGTAAAATATTTATGAAGTGATGAATTTTGAGTATTTATTACCTTTGCTTATATGTTCAGTTGTAAATTTATACAGTTTAATTTTTTATTAGTGTATGTGTTTAGCAATTGGCTCAAAGAATTCCTGAAAATTTAATAATAAGCTGAGTGATGTAAATAAACATGCTCCAGGATACCACTGTGATTATAATTTCTCCTAATTTCTCCAGACTTTTTTATAAACCCATGGTCGTAAACTTTCAAGAAGGAATACTTTGTCCCACACACCCTGAGATGCAGGGCAGAAGGAGTTGAGAAGCCCCAGATCCACGTAAGATCCAGACCCACAAGGAGCAGTTGCAGAGCAGCACAGACTGGCAACCCCTCTCTCAAGAATTGTTTTGTGTACAAGTTTGGAACCTTCAGTCTTCTTGAACCTGGAAAACAAGGCCTTTTGATCTCTCCTTACTTTGGTGCAGTCTCCCCTCATCCCAGGTTGGTGGAATTCAGACTGGAACCATGTGAGCAAATGGCACAGGGGCTGCACGTGCTCCAGACTCGGCCAGCCCCTGCCACCCACTATCCTCCAATTTCTAAGAGACTTGCCTTTGAAACACCCTCATTCCCATTCCTCTATCTGCAGTAGGGCTGAGTTAAAATTCCATACAGTTCTTTCTCAAAGCCAAGTGGCCACTCTCTAGGTAAAAAGTAATTTTTTTGAAACCAGACTATCTAATCAATCAACAGATACTAACATTCTTCAAAGGATTTCAGATTTTTAAATATACTATATCCTGGTGGAATGTTTATTGAATTGACATACCACTGACACGCAAAAAAAAAAAAAAAAAACTCACTCATTTTTCACTCTGTCATGAATACCCAATTCTCAGATATGTCCCTTCCTGCTACCCAAGTATTAATTAATTGTATACTTATACTCTAGCATAATTAATTGAAGTAGTCAAGGAACTGAGGAAAACTGTTTAAGTTGGTAAAGCTGGTATCTATCACAACTTAAAAGACAAAACAGAAACATATGGGAGGGAGAGGGGCTGACATGCAAACCTTTCCCGAGGTGAAAATCTATAGCCCAGTAATCCTGGGAATAAGTGATAAAAATTATCAAATAGTGTTGCCCTTAAGTAAAACTATGATATGGGCCAAGTTTTTCTTTAGCATCCTGTCACTTCCTCCTGCAGATCCCTGTCCCACTCCTGCTCCTCCCACCAGCACTACTCACTGCCCTTGTAAACAATGTTTTTGTGTTGTACTCATTTAAAGACTTCTTACAAGCATCCTGGTAAATCTTACATTTAAAAGATTGATCAGGGTGCACTATTAGGATACTATAGGTATTTGCATTTTAATGGAGTCTTCTGAAAATCAGGCCCAAGGGTATGAATCTTAAATGGAAAAATTCCAGGTCCAGATGGAAAGTTCTTTGGGCTGCCAAGACTTCAAATATTCAATACTCCTCTACACAGCCGATTTACTAGGTAATTTCTGTTCAGAAATATTTTCTTAGCTGCAGGAGGAATGGACCCTGTTCATTGCTACTCCCACAAGGCCCCCTGCAAAGCCTCAAATGCCTTGCCTGCCACTAGTGCTCAGATCTACCAGATCCCTTAAGCACTTTTATATTTACAGTAGACATTCTCTTTCTCCAGAGGGTATTTCAGCTCACCCTTCAGCCTTCTGTTTTCGTATCTCTTTTCCACAGTCTTTTTGGATTTCTGTCTTTTCTGCTGCCACTCTCTACAAAGACTTGCAGTGGTGAAGGCTTGAGACAGCCTGTCATAATTGAGTGAATTTTCCATTTACAGAAAATTTGTAGTTAGTAGTGTTCTCTTTCTAGTTATGCTAAAAGTATGAGTTAGGTGTGGTTTCATTTGCTCTTTTTATTGATTTGTATACTTTTCTGGAGAATGAATGGAAAGATTTATATTTAGATAGCTGCCATTATCCTAGGAGGACCTAGAAGTGAACTCTCTAAGTTTTATTTGAAAATATCTTTGTTTTGCTTCCATTCCTGAAGGGTACTCTCATTGAATTTGAAACTCTGACTCAGCTGTTTTCTTACAAGCTTTTGAAGATATTCACTATCTTCTGGCTTCCATTATTTTTGTGCAGAAGTCAGCTATAAGTTACTTATTGCTACTGTAAAAGTTGTCTTCTGGATTCAAGATTGTTTCCCGCTTCACCTCAATTTTCAGCAGTTTCATTATGATGCATCTGGATATGTTTCTTTTTATTTAAATTCCTTGGAATTTACTGAACTTATTGAATCTGTAACTTGATGTCCATCTGCTCTTTTTCTAGGACTCAAACATAAGACTTTCTTATTGAATCCAGTAGTTCCCTTACCTTATGTCTATTTTCCACCATTTTTCTCTCTTTACTTCAGTTTAGATTGTTTCTCCTGACCTGTACTTCTTGTCTTGAAAGTATGTCAAATGTTAGGCTCTGCCACTCAGCTGCTTCTTCCTAAATGAGCAAATGAAACACTCCCCAGGCAAAGTAGTCCCAAACAATGCTGGCCTCACCTCTCTGGATTCTCTTCTCCTGCATTTTGGTCCACTAATAACTGACTATATTGGTAACCACTTGGTTTTTAGTAAAATATTTTCTTATATTTTGTTCAGACTTTTTACTTTTCTTCAGCAAACAGGCTAAATTGCCTAATCTGCCATAAGCAGCAACGGAATCTGCAACATGGTTACTTACAACAGATTCAATAAGCTTTCATCTTCCCTTCTACTAGGATATAAATGGATTATTCTGTTTTGTGGCCAGGCATCAAACATGACATATTTAAAGACAAAATTCATTTGCTCGTGTATAACAAGGCCAACAAAAAACTTCAAGAATAAAGACTGTACCTCACTTTTGGAAAGAATGACAATAAACCTTTCTCTGGCAATTGGGCTGGTATTCACTATAATAATATGTTGGCAATCACTTTAAAGAAAATATGAAGTCCTCACAAAACTAGGTTGTAAAAAAGGCATCTAATAAATCTATACAGTGAATAGCATGTCTTTATTCTATTTACAGTACATTTGTTATAAATATAATACATTTTTTAAAAGCTTATTTTTAATTAACTTGAGATTTATATTTTAAACAGGTCAACTCAATTGTTAAAGTTACATAATAAAGAATATGATAATTTTAATGACAAAAATCTTATTGTGAAATAGTGCACTCTATACTGAGATGAATGAGGAAAAAAAAGTCAAACTCCTTTCAAAACTATATTCAAAGCATCAGAAAAATTTTTTTCTTTTTACAAAGTTATGTATAAGCCATAGGGGCCACCAGATACTGAAATATGAAGCCTCTATAACCAAAGTTCAAAACTGATTTTAGAGAACTGTGTGAAACAGGACAGGAGAATTTGTATTTAACACTCTATAGAACTTCACAGTAAAGCTGGAATTTATAGACTAATGGCTTAACAGGAGTATCGCCAAAAAGGCCTTTCCTTCCTCAAAATCATCTCCTAATATTCATCATTGACAAATTGTAACAGCAGACTTAGACATTGTTTTTTAAGATAGGGCTTAATAAGGTGCATGGGTATGTTGAAATTCTGTATTATGAGCATGTAAATTATTACCAGGTTTTAAAGAAATAAAAAAAAAATGTAAGTATTCCCAGTCCAACGTGCTTTGCATCATCAACAAAACAACAAGTCAAAGTATTTTGCAGTGATCAGATACCAACCTCCATTAACAAGTTAGGTATTTCAAATACTGCTGTAAAACCCATTCAGCAAAATTAAACCGATTCTTATGATTTCAGTACAACTTGCAAGTTGTCAGACGTTATTGATGATGATCAGGGCAGGCATGGAGTTCTGCTGACTTGTTTCAAACACTGTAACTTGGTCTGATAACTTGGCAAATACCCTAGGAGTTCCAAGGTTATAAACACCTGTATGAACAAAGCATGCTTTCAATTGCAAACTCTGAATCTCCTGGCTTTTCAGCTGAAGTTTATATTGTGTTTGTCCAAGCCATGTGAATGATCCATGGATTTCCAATGCTTCTGGACTAAGGGAAGAGGAAAATGGTAAGTTGTAGAATATTTTTCTTTATAAATTTTTTTTACAAAGTCCCATTAACATTCCCTTTTCATCCAGCAATTCTATTTCTAAGAATTATTTTATGAAACCAACTGTTTAATACACAACATTATTACCATTCCTATAACAGCTAACATTTATTAACAGCTACTATTTCCCAGGCACAATGCTAAGAATGGATTATCTCATTTAATGCCCACTAACAATAGTTAGTAAATGATGGAACCTGATTTCAAACCTGAGCTTTTAACCCCTTGGTTATCCATATATAAAAATAAATGTGTGTACAAAAATGCTTATAATATTGAAACTGTTTATAATATTGAAAAATGGAAAACAACCTAATATATACCCTCTAATAAGGTATTAATTAGTTTATGATACACATAATGATATATATAATGTGTTTGAATTTCAGAGAGCTGTCCCCTATCCTGTTTGGGCTGTTATACAATAATACTCACTAGATGTTTTATACTGTTTTTCTAAAAATTTTGAAATTTCTGAATTCCAAAAAGCATCTGACTATTAGATGTGGGAGTACAAACCTGGATTTCTTCTTTTGTTAAGTATTATTCTATAATCTGGAAAAAAAACTTTTAATATTTAATACTTCTATTAAGATTTTTTAAACACCAAACAAAAAAAATCAGGGCATGCTTGAGTAAACTTTCTTACCCATGTTAGGTAATTATTTGCATAATTTAAAAACATTAAATTGCTCTCAAATCACTTTAAACCTTAAACTACAAAATTACCTTGCACTCAATAAATCTTTACCTTGTTGTTTTATGCCGAAGATCAACTATTACATCTACGTCAGCCTTAGAACAATTGGAAAGTAAAAGGGTGACTGGTACTAAACAAAGGCTATGGAAGAAAAATAAAAACAGTTAACTGTTATATTTTTCTCCTTAAAAACAATTTTCTTGAAAATAACACTTAAGACTAACGGAGGGCATAAGCTCCTTAAAAGCAATCAAATTCAAGAAGGAAAAAGAATTAAGCTCCAAAATCATGCAAGACAAATTATTTTGTAATAAAAAATAAAATATATTAATACAATAACTCAGTACTAAATAATTATACAATATACAAATCAATTTTATTTCCATTTATTATGATAAATCTTAAAAAAAAAACTAAAGTGTTGCTAGATACTTATTTCCCAAAATAAAAAACAAAATAATCTCAACTTAGGTCAATGAAGAAAAAGTAAATCATGAAAATGCTAATTTATCAGATTGTCTTTATGTTTATAAAAATTACTGAATTTTGAGAACTTGGCCAAGATTGGCATTTGTTTTTCTATTAAATTTGCATAAAGTCAGCCAGGCGGTGGCTCCAGCCTGTAATCCTAGCACTCTGGGAGGCCAAGGCTCGCAAATTGCTCAAGGTCAGGAGTTCGAAACCAGCCTGAGCAAGAGCAAGACCCGTCTCTAATATAAATAGAAAGAAGGCCGGGCGCGGTGGCTCACGCCTGTAATCCTAGCTCTCTGGGAGGCCGAGGCGGGCGGATCGCTCGAGGTCGGGAGTTCGAAACCAGCCTGAGCAAGAGCGAGACCCCGTCTCTACTATAAATAGAAGAACTAATTGGCCACTAATATATATATAAAAAAATTAGCCGGGCATGGTGGCTCATGCTGTATCCCAGCTACTGGGAGGCTGAGGCAAGAGGATTGCTTGAGCCCAGGAGTTTGAGGTTGCTGTGAGCTAGGCTGACGCCACGGCACTCACTCTAGCCTAGGCAACAAAGCAAGACTCTGTCTCAAAAAAAAAAAAATAAAAAATATAATAGAAAGAATTAATTGGCCAATAATATATACAGAAAATTAGCCGGGCATGGTGGCACATGCCTGTAGTCCCAGCTTCTCGGGAGGCTGAGGCAGCAGGATTGCTTGAGCCCAGGAGTTTGAGGTTGCTGTGAGCTAGGCTGACGCCATGGCACTCACTCTAGCCTGGGCAACAAAGCAAGACTGTCTCAAAAAAAGAAAAAAAAAAAAAATTTGCATAAAGTCATGTTTGGGAGAACATGGGGATTATTTCTGTACACCAAGTTATGAGGAAACCCCTTTCAAATAGACACATGCTCGAGTACCCTAGATTCTGATATCACTTTATGTATAGGAAAAAGGACAGGCAATGAGAGAACATGTGAAAAAGGTGGCACAGATTTCAAATCAAGAATACAAGAAATGAACATAACCCATGTACAAATGAAGCCTGGTTACATGCTATTATTTATATTTTACTCTATAAACAAAAAGAAAAAAACATAGTAAAAACCAAAAACTATAATTTTATAAGCTCACACAAAATAAATTTTAAATTCTGCTCAAATAATATATTTTTATGCTTTCAGAAAGTTTATATTCTCTTACTGAGAAATACTTTCTAAACAATGCTGCCTATAACACAGATTTCACTAAACAAAAACCGAGTTGAATTCAAAAACATATTTTTAGGTTGTGGTACTGCTATGCCCTAACCTACTCCCACAAACTTCTCACATGGCAAGAAGGGCAAAAAAGACTACTGGGTAGGTTTCCTGTTTGAAGTATCTCATTAAGTTAAATTCCAATAGCATAACTTGTAGTTTAAAGTTAAAACTCTGGAACTTAAGCTATTCTGTTTCCATTTGATGCTGAAATGTCAAATTCCCCATGCCTATCTAAATGCTTCTAGTAGAGGAATAATTATGAATATCTCGGTGTCTCCTGGTCCAAAATGAATCTTCAGTCCAATGAAGAGCACTATGATCTTAAGTCTCTGTTAAGATTTTTTTTTTTTTTTTGAGACACAATTTCTGTTGCTGGGGCTAGAGTGCCATGGCTTCAGCCTAGCTCCCAGCAACCTCAAACTCTGGGCTCAAGTAATCCTCCTACCTCAGCCTCCCGAGTAGCTGGGACTACAGGCGTACACCACCACACCCAGCTATTTTTTTTTTTTAGTTGCCTGGCTAATTTCTTTCTATTTATAGTAGAGACAGGGTCTCACTCTTGCCAAGGCTGGTCTCCAACTCCTGACTTCAAGCGATCCTCTCGCCCCATCCTCCCAGAGTGCTAAGATTATAGGTGTGAGCCACCACGCCCAGCCTCTGTTAAGGTCTTAATTTTGTCCAGCACTCTTGTGCAACCTCAGACAGCATCTTCTCACTCTTCTCAGTAGTTATCTTAAAATTTAACTTTTTTCAAATTCTCTACCCTTCACTACCATACTTTCTAGATTAACTTTGAGTAGTTAACCTTGCTTCTATAAACACCTCCTAAAATAGAGGCACTTTAACAAGTATAAACTTGCTAAAATTTCTCCTTACTTTCTTCTTTCCCTGTTTCAATAGTAAGAAAGTACCTTCTTTAGCTCAAACCTAATAGTGTCATTCTTTAGTGTGTGTATCTTCCCATCTATTATGGATTCAGTTACTCTCCCATCATTTCCCTAAAGACCACAAACATAGCTAAGTAAAAAAACAATAATGAACAGATACTCCCTGATCCCTGTTCTTAGCCCAGCTTCTTGAAAGGGTGGTCAACACAGTATCTTTACCTCCTCATCTACCATTCTCCCCTCAACCTATGTCATGATTCTACCACCCACATTGGGACATTCTTCTAAAAATCATGAATGGCCTCCCTGTTGTCAGGTCTGATAAACTTTTGGTCCATTTACTATTTGAACTTTCTGCAGCATTTTAAACTGTTAACCACTTTTCTTTAACTGTTCTCACTCAACTTTTGAGATATTACTTTCTTCTCATTGGTCTTTTCACACTAATTCTTTAATTGCTCCTTTTCCATCAGTATTCTTCATGGGCTCCTTTTTCCTCTCAGAGATCACTGTTCTGCAAGTCACCATTCTCCTTTTGTTCTATTCCATCCCATCGTCACCCCTACCCAGGGTGATTGCACCAAAATGCATACCTTCTAGTATCATTTACAGAATGGTTCTAATAGGCTTTTCACTATCTTTTCTTATATGGAGACTGCAAACTGGCAACCTTTTGAAGTATCACCTGATTTAGAACTTATTTTTAGAACTTTTTATATTCAAGTTATTTACCAAACTTACAAATACATCATTTCCCATGAAGTTTAGCACATAGTAAAGCTCAAATAAATGATGCAGTCCAAACTTGAACTATTAAATGAATCTATATTGTAGTCATATCTTAAGTTTAATTTCTGTATCTAAAACAAAACCAAAATTATATGTTTTTTTCCTTGTTTTTGACTTAACAATAAATCTGCTCATCAAAAGGAAACTTTTAGCTTCTCAGAGGTGGCTTAAGGAAATATCCATTTTTAACAGCTGCAAAATATACAGTAATCATAATAAAGGTTCAGTTACTTAGAGTAATTTCTATAGACTCAATATAATCTAAATTTCTCCTTCAATATTTGGATTAACGCCACTGCCTACATAAATAGTAAATGTATGTATGTTATGTAAAAATTTTTTTTAAAAATGAAGCTCAAACCTTTTTTGATGAAATGGATGATTAAATGATTCTGGGTAGTGAAGACTCGTTTTAATGAGATTAGAAAGCTGCTCTACTGATGGTCTTGAGGAAACTGTAGTGTTTTCTGGCCTGAAAAATTTTAATAGTTCCATTTCTGGTGGCTCCTGAGAAAAGAAAAGGAAAAAATATGTGGCAATGAAATCATCACCTTATTTAAAAAGTATAGTGTACACAAACAAAAGTTAAAACCAGTAAAGATAATATAAGGCATGAACAGTACTTTTTCTGCTGTTATTTAAACTAATAGTTGCTATCATTTGCAATATAATATAGGATAAAGAAATCAGGATCTAGAATTATTTATTCATTCCCCACTTACTATGTGTTGCAGTTAGACTTGATTTCCAGCAACTTAACACATTAGCTCTGTGATCTCAAATAAGTCACTTAATACTTTAAGACTTCATTTCCTTTTACGTAAAAGGGGGTTTGTAACAGCAATAATTTCAAAGGCTGTTGTGATTCTCATCTGGTAATACTGCTTAGAACTGCAGACATTCAATTATATAGCATGTTTTAATAGTTAAACATCTAAAACTGCCTTAAGGTTTTATTTTAAAAATATAGGACTGGGTTTTATAGATTACAGTGCCTCGGCTATATTAGCTAAAGATTACTATGCATGTAAAAAGTCTTAATATATAGCTAGTATCGGGCATATTGTAAATATTCCAATAAACACTAATCTTATCCTCTCTAAATGAAAATGGAGAAACATCCCATTTCTACTATTATTTTCTTTCTTAGATATTTTTTCTCCATTTTCCTTCACTACCTAGAAGTCTGATTTTGATCTATACCAGGAATTGGCAAACTACAGCTCCTGGGCCAAATCCAGCCTGCCTCCTGTTTTTGTAAAGAAAGTTTCATTGGGCTCCAAATCTATTACTAACAGTATGATGAAACTGCCTTATTTCCCAAACTTAGCTAATCATATAAAGAGAATATATTTCAAAAGTGACATACAGTGAAATACAAGGAATGTGCCATATATAGTAAGTATATAAAATGGGAATATAACAAGAGTAAATTTGATAGAAAAATCCTCTGTTTCTTCTTCCTTCCTCCCCCGCCCCCGCTTTTTTTTTGAGACAGAGTCTCACTGTGTTGCTCTGAATAGACTGCAGTGGCGTCTTCATAGCTCACTCATTGCGATCTCATACTCCTGGGCTCAAGTGATCCTCTTGCCTCAGCCTCCCGAGTAGCTGGTACTATAGGTGCATGCCACCACACCAAGCCAATTTTTCTTTTTGTAGACATAGGGTCTTGCTCTTGCTCAGGCTGGTCTTGAATTCCCAACCTCAAGCAATCTTCCTGCCTTGGCCTCCCAGAGCACTAGGATTACAGGCATGAGCCACTGTGCCTAGCTGTTTCATTTTCTAAATGCTGTCTTGCCATTGTTTGAGACGTTCCAAATTATCAAAAGCTTATGGTATTTATGACTAAAACTCAGGATTTAGTCATGAGGATTTTTATATTAATTAAAAGAAGACAAATAATTTTCTTAAAATTAAGCACAGATTTTGGGTTAAGTTTGATATTTTCATTAAACCTAATGAAAAATGATCATTATGTAAGCATCAAATTAAAAACTGATTCAAGTTACAGAATTACCAATGGATGCTAAAACTATTATACTTAAGTTTGATAAGAAACCAGACATTCACATAGTATAAAATTATCTCCCCCCAAATTACTTATTATTATGAAAGGAAAAACTGTAACTTTACTGTGGAGAAACATGGTACCCCCTTAGTCAAATGATCCATCACGGACAATGGGACAAATTAATACCATGTGCCTTCTGATAACACAATGAGGATATAATACCATCTATGTAGTATCACTGCCAAAATGCATAACCTTAATCTAATCATGAGGAGATACGAGAAAAGCCCAGACTTATTATTCTACAAAATAACTGGCCCATGCTCTTCAAAGTGTCAATATCATAACTGATAAGAAAAGGCTTAAGAAATTGTTTCAGAGGAACAGAGACTAAAGAGACATGACAAATAATCAGAGGAACAGAGACTAAAGAGACATGACAAATAAATGCAGTACATGACTCTGAACTGGATTCTGGACAGAAAATAAAAAAGTTATAAGGATATAATTTAAACCTTTGATGGCATCTGAATATGGACTGTATATAAGAGTACTGCATCAATGTTAAACTTCCTGAAAGTGATAACTTTTATAAACACAATACAAGGTTACTGTTTAAATTATTGGACTATATTTTGCTTAAATTTTGTTCATATATGCTACTCTAATTTTTTGATAAGATTAAATAGTATTTTAGAAAAAATAAGAAAGCATATTACATGCTATTAGCAGCTGCTACATAACTTCAGAGGCCATCTTTTGCATTCTACAATATGCCTCCTGGAGTTCTGCAATGATGTCCTAATAAATAGGAAAGTACAGTGACATGGATTCCTTGCTCTCAATCAAATCAAGTCTTTTCACAACTATGAATTCTAAATTACAAAATATATCTTAGGAAACCCCAAGATCAAAAATGCATCTTAATACTCTTCTAAAGTGCTAATGAATTTTAAAATCAATTTATGTCTATTTCTAATTTTAGTCGGTCTTCTGTCACCAAACCCTGACACAAAACACCAACATAAAAAGCATGAACAAACCAGCCCCCTTCAAAAACAAATCAAACAAAAAACTGCTTTTTAAAGTTCACAGGAAAACTCCAAAGCAAACTATGTTATTACCTGTTTCTGAGGATATGAAAAGGCTTCTTTTCCTATAGTGCGAAGAATAACATGCTGCTGACCTTCCAAAATAAGCTGTTTACTGTCTTCTACAACATATGCCTAAAAAATACAAAACACAAAAATGTCACTCTCTTTGGCAGTAACCTCAAAAAGCAACCAGACTAATATTTGATGGAAGATAGAACTATTATGGCAAATATCTAATTAATTATCAACACTCCTGGCCATGTCAGCATTAATTAATTCTATTATTTATTTTTTATTAATTCACACAATCAATAATGTATTTGTCAAAAAAAAAAAGGGGGGGTTGCCCCATATAGTTGGCCTGTATATTTGAGACACACCTCGAAATCTTTTACAGTTTTCTCTAGAATTCTTAAGAAAACTACTTCAAAAGAACTGTGCCATAATAAATTGTGCCATAAACAAGCTTTTCTCTTTACTGAACTAGCCATACACAAACAAAATTTTTGCTTCTGAAATTCCCTAGGGTTTGTGACATAGCAGAGCAAAATCAATGAGTACAATCATAATCCTGTAAGTGGAAATGTTATGTCCTTGGAAACCTTAAATATAAATACATATGCTTTTAAAAAGGCTTTTTCTTCCAATATAGTAAGCTGATTTCATATATATTGAAACACTGGTTTCAGTTTACAATAACTCTTCTTTCTCTTGAATTGCTTCTGTTCCAGAGAAAATATAAATTATTAATGGCTCTGATTTACTGTTATTGTAACATTATGCAAATACAAGGACTTAATTTTTTTTGACATGCTCAATATTTTTATTATTAGATTCAAAAGACATAAAATTACTCAGTTAAATAAAATGCTATAAAAGTTTCTAAATGCTTACTTTCAATTTCTATACTTATCATGGACCAGTGACCATTTTGTCACCCATGGATCACACTTTGAGCAGTGTTGCAATAAGGCACACGACAGTTCAGGACCTACTCAGCATCCATATTTGCAGAACCCAGAAAGGGAGGATGAGTTAAACACCTGATGGGTTGATCTTTAATCAAGAGGGGATAAGAGGCCGGGCATGGTGGCTCACGCCTGTAATCCTAGCACTCTGAGAGGCCGAGGCAGGCGGATTGCTCGAGGTCAGGAGTTCGAAACCAGCCTGAGCAGGAGCAAGACCCTGTCTCTACTATAAATAGAAAGAAATTAATTGGCCAACTAATATATATAGAAAAAATTAGCCGGGCATGGTGGCGCATGCCTGTAGCCCCAGCTACTCGGGAGGCTGAGGCAGGAGGATCGCTTGAGCCCAGGAATTGGAGGTTGCTGTGAGCTAGGTTGACGCCACGGCACTCTAGCCCAGGCAACACAGTGAGTGAGGCTGTCTCAAAAAACAACAACAACAAAAAAAAAAAACTGGAAAAGTTAAGCAAAATAAACGTAAACAGTAATATACATTTGCTCTTCAATTTAAGAATCGAATATCTGTGACACTAACTGAAATAATTTAGTAATACATACCTTCCATAATATGATGACATTCAAATCTACCTCACTGCACTTTTGAATCAATCTCACAGCATCTTCTATTGACTGTTTTTCTGCATGTGTAGACAACTGAGCTTGTGGTTTTTTCAACTCAGAAGATAAACTTCGATAAAAGAAGTCTGCACATGGGCTTGCTGAACTTACTATCTGTTAAAAGAAAAATCACTTGTCTACATAAATGTTTTTAATTACATTCTGTTAAAACTTATTCTGTATCACTCATTTAGTTCCAATTAAATATATCCTGCCAAAATTTATGTTTCTGTAACTTATGTATACCCAAAAGGCTTATTCAATAATTTCTTGTAAATGCAGTTATATACAAGGAGGCCACTTGAACATCTGAAAGATTTCATATAAATTAGCCCAATTCTTAAAGCTGTCACCCCAAAATAATTAATCTTTACTCCTATGACATTACTCTTGACCTTCCAAGTACCTAGGGAGGATGAATACGTATCTCAAAGAAAACAAATAAAAAATAAAATGTTGAAATATTTTACTGTTAAAATAACAGAGGCATTTCTCAAATATTTAGAATACTAGGCAATATTCAATTAGACAATGCAAATTGAATTACTGGCATTATTAACTTGGCTTTTATACATGAGGGAGGGAGCATAACAAAAAAAATTGGACTAAGAACTATAAAATTTCCCTTAATGGAATATCATGCTTTATAGTAAAAGCTCTCTACATTTATGGTTTCCTGCTCTAAAGGCTATATACTATTATATAAATGGTAAGCTTCAAGTTAATTATTAATATTAAATATTAATAAATACATATATTTTCTCATTATGAGCAAACTTTTTCTAGTAAAACATTATCCCCATAGTTTTTTTCATTAATCTGTAGTGCTCGGTAAGTTCTATTTACTCAACCAGATTCACAAAAATGGAAAATGTCCTTGTTTCTCCCTTCTTCAGTGCTTTTATACAAAATTACTGAACAATAAAATACAATAAAAATTACAACATTAATGTAATTTAGGGGTCCTGCTGCTGTTTCAAAGATTTTAAATTTTTTAAAAGAAATGAAAAAAACCCTGAATCTTGAAAACTAAATTCATCCATTCAGGAAGCATAGTATCTCTAAAAGTAATACATGTTTTGGAATTATTGGGCTTTTGGAGCCCTGATATAGTCCTAAATAACTGCTTACTCGAATGGTAAAAAGATAGTCATAAAGAATGAGTCAGGTGAAAGCAAATGATAAGAGAAGTACGAAAATATAAGCATGTTTGGAATTATCAAGGAGAAGAGCATAAAGAAGAAATCATCCAGCCAGGCAAGTAGTGCACGCCTGTAACCTCAGCCACTCAGGAGGCTGAGGCAGGAGGATTGCTTAAGCCCAGGAGTTTGAATCCAGCCCAGGCAACACAGCGAGACTCAGTCTTAAAAAAAGAAAAAGAAAAGAAAAAAGAAATCATCTCACTAAAGCACACAATTATAAAAAATTTTAACCCTATGTCCAGTGTTTTTCAAAGCAGGTCCCCAGATCACCTCTTCAGATTCAGATTATCTGCAGAACTAGTTTGAAGTGCATATTCCCAAACTCCACCCAGAGCTTTAGGAGTGGGGAGGTAAAGTCTGTATTTTTATAAAATCCTCTAGTTCCTTGATACTCAAAATCACGGTCTGCAGACTAACAATCTCAGCCTCACCTAGGAGCTTATAACAATTTAGCACCTCCCGTTCCACCCTAGTTCTATTCAATCAGAATTTGCATTTTAACAAGATCTACAGTGACATGTATGTACATTTTTTGAAAGTTTAGAAATCACTGTTCTAGATGATCCTTATTAAGACTAGGTTATCACTGCCCTAGACAATACCTTTAAAATTAAAATTATGTATCCAGCTTATTATTTGGGTCTCAGAACCACAATATGATATGCCAAAATCCAGGAGATCATCATAGGTATGTTCCACTGTGACGACTTTCCCTAACAGAAAGTTTCCCTCAGAGAATCATGCTTTTTTTTTATAATCCCTAGGACTATATTTCATATGATATTCTTAAAAGGAAGGTAACTTTAAATTACTAATTAAAATGGCACAGTCCATAAGCATTTTTGGTTTGTTTTTGGGATTGAAGACAGGTGGCAAAACTTAACAAACTTGAGATGTTCATCCTCCAAGGAGCTTGGGGATTACTGAAGTATGAGTTTTGCCTAAACAGCCACATATTCAAGAACTATGACTTTTAAAATCAAACACTACTGTATTTATTTGCATACCTGTTCGTTTCCAAAGATGATATCTGCAAAGGTATATTTTTCTGAGGACTGTGTAGCAGCTAAAAAACAGGGGAAAACAAACTAATCATATCACTGACATAAAATATAAAATGACCATTTAATCAAGTATGAAAGTAAAATGAAATTACCTTCTTTTTCTTTACATCTTATTGCTTTGAAGCAAAACTTTCCCTTCTCCCTACTAGCAAGTTTGGCATCTAGGAAGAAAAGGGGAAATTTCAAAAATGTTTCTCAGTCATTATTTAGATCTCCTTAGTCAAACTGGAAAACAATTCAGAATTATAAATAATGTTTAATTAAAAACATCTTTGCATTCATCTTAAAGAGTGACTCTTCAACTAAGCTCTTAAAAACAAAAAAATTTCAAATTTCTCAAAATATATATCCATATGGTGCATATGTATATATTCATATATATGACATTTCAGATAAACAGAAAAATCAGAACTTGAAGACTGGGGAGCCCACAATCCCAACACTCTATCATTTCTTCATTTCCTTCCAGGAATTTTTTCTTCTGTATGATTTATAACATTATTATTACATGTATTATTATATTACATTATTATTCTGCCATGGTACATTTTCCCAATATCGGAGGCACTTTTATTTATTTATTTATTTTTTGAGATAGAGTCTCACTTTGTTGCCCAGGCTAGAGTGAGTGCCATGGCGTCAGCCTGGCTCACAGCAACCTCAATCTCCGGGGCTCAGCGATCCTCCTGCCTCAGCCTCCCAAGTAGCTGGGACTACAGGCATGCGCCACCATGCTCGGCTAATTTTTTGTATATATATTTTTAGTTGGTCAATTAATTTATTTCTATTTTTGGTAGAGACGGGGTCAGGCTCAGGCTGGTTTCGAACTCCTGACCTTGAGCAATCCGCCCGCCTGGCCTCCCAGTGCTAGGATTACAGGCGTGAGCCACCACGCCCGGCCGGAGGCACTTTTAAAATGCTACTTTAAGTATATTTTCTGGACTAAAAAAAGTCTACCTGAGTTGTGGCATAATTTACATTAAAGCTACACTGAATTTTTCCTTACTAAACATAAGCTTATAAAAAGCTTCTCTGAATATGTGGATTTTCCCATATTTCAAATTATGAGAAAATCCCATAATTTGGGATAATTTAATTTTGCATAAATTCCCAAAATAAGGATTAATGTGAAGGTAAGAGTTTAAACTTTTTTTTTTTTTTTTGAGAAAAGGTCTCACTCTGTCACCCAGGATAGAGTACAGTGGTGTCATCATAGCTCACAGCAACCTCAAACTCCCGGGCTCGAGCTATCCTCTTGCCTCAGCCTCCCAAATCGCTATGACTACAGGCCTGTGCTAGCATGCCCAGCTAATTTTTCTACTTTTTGTAAACATGGGGTCTTGCTCTCGATCAGGCTATAAACATTTTTATGTCTTTTGAAATATACTGCACAATTATTTTCCAGAAAGAGTATCATTTTGCTGGCTTCATCCCAGTATTACAACCACTAGGCACTGTCACATTACTGGCAGCATAATAAATTTTTTTTTTTATCTTAAGCATCTCTTATTTTATTCAAATAATAGTTGCAGATGAGATAAATAATCCATTTCAGGTGTAATCAACTAACATTTTTCTCTAACTAGCAGTGTATCATTATCGCATTTACTTTTGTTCACATCAGGATTGAATATGGCCTAATTGCCATCTACTAAACTAAAGCATTCCCATAGAAAGCTGATTTCTACTATGCTAGTTAAGGATTCAAAAGCTCTGGATCCAGTTTTCTGTGAGTCTTTAAAGAAAGTGTAAGAGTCTCCAATGTAGAAATTACTGGCTGAATTGTCTTTATGGAGAACATATTAAATCCACAAAAATCCTTCCATATCATTCCAAGTAGAAGGTACCTGTGCCCATACCAGCAGTATAAAATTGATTTTGGCAGCATAATAAATTGATAGAAATATTCAGGAAAATAATTTCTCAATATGTATCACAAGTGCACATATTCTTTTATTTGAATGTTATATAAACATGAAAATTCACAAAAAAGCCAATTGGCATATAGGTACGGATATACATAGAAAATTCACCAACCAGTGGTGAAGAAAACAAACAGAAATTTCTATATTCTAGTCTGTATATTTCTGTACTGTTTGAATTTGACAGTAATCATGTAACTCAGGCACTGATTTTACAAAGGAAAAAGAAAAAAGAAAAAAAAATATAAGTAGAAAAGATGTGGAAGGAATAAAAAGATCCAAAAATCAATTGGATCATGACAGATAATTTGATATACAGTCATATAAACTAATGAAAGCACAATGTAATGCTTAAAAAGTTAATTCTAAGAAAGGAAATAATAATTTTATATTTTGGCACTATCCTTAAGAAAATCAAGCAATGAAGACATCAGAATTTATAATGAAGGGAAAAAGGCACGAACCTTTGTTTTCAGAGAGATTTACAGATTTCTGTAACTTCCAGTGTTTGCTACTACTTGATACTTGTACTATATGGAATTCCTTAACACCTGCTTCACTCTGTCAAAAAAAGATGACAGTCTTTCAGGAATTAGAAACAGTAAATTAGAATATTTCAATGAGAACAAAATTGAGATACTGCTATGAAAGTCAATATAAATTAACCTAAGACACATTTTTATTTTGATATAAAGTAACAATATACATTTCAATAAGTTTAAGTTACTTAAACCCCTTTCTAAACATTCTTAAAACAGAGAAGTCAACATTTTTCCCAAGAAGTATTTTTCACTAGAATGCCCAGCCAGCAGTAAATTTTAAAATACTAAAAGGCATTCAGTTATTAAATTCTATCATAATGAGTTACTGGTAGTATTTAATAGATCAAAAATTATTTATTATCAATTTTCAATCAAAACTATAGCATTTTTTTCACCTCTCACAAAAACCAACTCACGCTGGATAACAGACTTAAACCTAAGATATGAAACTATTAGAACTCTAGAGGAAAAAGTTGGAAACACTCTCCTAGACATCGGCCTGGGCAAAGAGTTTATGAAGAAGTCCCCAAAGGCAATCACAGCAGCAACAAAAATAAATAAATGGGACATGATCAAACTACAAAGCTTCTGCACAGCCAAAGAAATAGTCATGAAAGTAAACAGACAACCTACAGAATGGGAGAAAATTTTTGCATCCTATGCATCTGATAAGGGACTGATAACTAGAATATACTTAGAACTCACGAAAATTAGGAAGAAAAAATCAAATAACCCCATTAAAAAGTGGGCAAAGGACTTGAACAGAAATTTTTCTAAAGAAGACAGAAGAATGGCCAACAAACATATGAAGAAATGCTCAACATCTCTAATCATCAGGGAAATGCAAATCAAAACCACAATGAGATATCACTTAACCCCAGTGAGAATGGCCTTTATCAAAAAATCTCCAAACTATAAATGCTGGCGTGGTTGCGGAGAGAGAGGAACACTCCTACACTGCTGGTGGGACTGCAAACTAGTTCAACCTCTGTGGAAAGCAATATGGAGATACCTTAAAGCGATACAAGTGAATCTACCATTTGATCCAGCAATCCCATTGCTGGGCATCTATCCAAATGATCCAGTGACACTCTACAAAAAAGACACCTGCACTCGAATGTTTATAGCAGCACAATTCATAATTGCAAGGCTGTGGAAACAGCCCAAGTGCCCATCAATCCAAGAATGGATTAATAAAATGTGGTATATGTATACCATGGAGTACTATTCAGCTCTAAGAAATGGTGACATAGCACATCTTATATTTTCCTGGTTAGAGCTGGAACCCATACTATTAAGTGAAGTTTCCCAAGAATGGAAAAACAAGCACCAGATATATTCTCCAGCAAACTGGTATTAACTGAGTAGCACCTAAGTGGACACATAGATGCTACAGTAATAGGGTATTGGGGAGGTGGGAGGGGGGCGGGTATATACATACATAATGAGTGAGATGTGCACCATCTGGGGGATGGTCATGATGGAGATTCAGACTTTTGGGGGGAGGGAGGTAAAATGGGCATTTATTGAAACCTTAAAATCTGTACCCCCATAATATGCCAAAATAAAAAAAAATTAAAAAATAAAATAAAAATAAAAGACAATGCATGTAAAAAAAAAAAAAAACTATAGCATTTTAATTTTATTTCTTCTCGTCTTTCTGAGATATCTCATTCCCATTGAGGCAAAATACAAGCAACAAAAAAAATCTCACAAACCAGAATCCCAATATATGGTCAATGCCCATGAAGTTATTTGAATAGCATATAACTTTTTTATTCTCCTGAATAAGTACCAATTTAAAATTTGAAATTATGGGAGCTAATCTATGAACATACACAGGCACAAGAGATGTAAATACAGGACACTGGAAATCAAGAAAAGGGAAGGAGGGAAGGAATGGAGGGATAAAAACCTACCTATCAGGCACAATGGAACACTATTTGGGTGATGGGCACACTAAAAGCCTCAATTTAAGCATTATAAAAGGTATCCATGTAACAAAAACATTTGTACCCCCTTAATATTTTGAAATAAAAAAACTTAAAATCATTAAAATTTTCTTAGTCCTACTAATTATTGATTTTTTTTAAAGATCACCAAAGTATTTGCATATTAACCCTAAATATCCTACAAGTTAAAAGTGAATGAATAAGTAACATTTCAATTAAGTATCTGAGTCAATCTGAGACTAAGGTCCTATTTTAATCATGAGATCACATTACCTTCTTCAAGAACATTCATTTTTATTTTGGAGTAAAAAACAGAAAGGGCAATATTTTGGAAATTCCTTATATAAAGAAAATGATACTATAAGATATGTTTAAGTGAGGGGTTACCAAGTTAATATTGAATGTGAAATCCTAACAGAACCTCTTAACTTACATCAATAAATTATTCTCAATGGTAAGACTTCTAGAAAGCATTTTATGAGATCTATTTTAGATTGAGTTACTGCTATATGGGACTATATATCACACGAATGTTTAATATATTAGTATCAGCAGATCTTTTTATTTGGAGAGACTGAGGGATAAAATTACAAAGCTAAATGAGGATTAAGAACAGTCCTAAAATTCCTAGTTTATGCTGTTTTGTGGAGGGAAAAACAACCCATTACTACAAACAAAAGACACGCTTCAAATATAATTAAAAACAAAATTCAATTTTAAACCAACTTACAGTATTGGTATTTTCCACATCCACAAAGACTAGCATATTGCCTCCTCTGCCTTCTTCATCTTCAAGAGAATTACTTCTGCAAACAGTGGCTCGTACATTCAAAGACCGGCTGGTACAAATAACTGCAGTATGTCTTAATATTCTGTGACTGAAGAAGCAAGAAAAAAAAAAAAAGCAAATTTAATCTAAGAGCTTCTCCCTATGTTATGATTCTCTATTTCCAAATAAAGATTTTAAAAACTGATCACTCTCAGGACTAAAAACCAAAGAATATATTAAGCAAAATTAATGTAGTCAGCCTAAGTTCAATTCAATTCTTTCTCAATTTAGAAGGAAATTATTAGTCTCCCTGACTAAACTTTTTCTCTACTCATTAAATTCATCTGTATAACACATAAAAATAATTTTCATATAATAAAGTTCCGATTACACCTCTTTTCTGATAGCGGTTCTGAAGTTTCTGAATGACTACCAAATAAAATCCAAACTTTATCCCAAAACTGAGCCCCCCCCAATTGAAACTTTAACCTGGCATTCAAAGCTCTTCACCATATAGCTTTATATTTCAAAGATATCTTTGTCTTTACTTCCTTTTCTTCCTTTTTTTTTTTTTTTTTTTTGAGACAGGGTCTTGCTCTGTCTCCTGTGCTAGAGTGGTACAGTGGCATCATCATAGCTCACTGCAACCTCAAATTCCTGGGCTCAAACGATCGTCCTGCTTCAGCCTTCCGAGTACCTGGGACTACAAGCAGGCATGTACCACCAAGCCTGGCAAATTTACCTATTTTTTATAGAGACAGGATCTTGCTCTTATTCAGGCTAGTCTGAAACTACTGGCCTCAAGCCTCAGCCTCCGAAAGTGGCAGGATTACAGGCGTGAGCCACTGTGCTTGGCCTCCCTTTAGAATTCTAATGAGCCATGAGCCCAAGAGGCAGACATTAGCTCCAAATCCTGAAATCTTTACTCTCTTGGAAATTCATTTTACCACTACTACACTCCACAAAACCTTCCCTGATTGCCTTGGATTCCCTATATCATCTTTTTAAGGAGAATTAGCATTTACTGAAGACCTAAAGGTACCCATACTAACAAAACATCTCATTTTGTCCTCATGGTTTTACAAGGTATTTTAAATATTCCATTAAGTAAAATAAATTTGGCACAATTATTCCTAGTTAATTTTGGAAAAATGACAATGGGGCTACTATAAATAAAATGTTCTGCTGTGCAATATATAGGTCACAGATCCTGGTATGAGCCAGACAGGTTTGATTTCTTCAGTGTTCACCTATTATAACACCAACCTAATCATCTATTCTGCAAATACATAAATTTTTTGCATACATTCTTGGGGGCAGGGAGAGATGCCAGGGAAAAGAGAAGGTAAAAAAGAGAAAAAATTTTCTTAAAAAAGGATGACTGGGATGACTGTAGGCAGGCTGACTTCATGTACAAATGATACTGTGTTTTAATAAGTGGTACCTGTTAATTTCAATTTGTTATAATTTTGGCCACAGTACTTAGTTGTATCAAAGAATCATGATGTTTATATATAGAAGCAACTAAAAAAATGTGTAGCTAAATTTTTTCCACTTTTGGCTACCTAGAACTTAAAGTTCTATTCAGGACAACCTGAGATATAAATATCATGTATAATCTGGAAGGGGGTAATTTCTTAATAATGATATATGCTAGCAGATGTCAAAATGTTTATCTGAATATGTACACATATATTAAACAGAGTTTAAATCAAAATACCCACCGTATTTTAGGCTGCTTTTTGACACTTTCATAGTAAAACAAAAAGTTAATTTCATGGACACCTTCTTCGTCTGGCCCACGTAACCACATTGGTAGCTGCACTGAAGCTCCAGGGAGAAGAACAGTGTCAGGAAGGGGAACAGGAATCACCTCTGGTTGACTTCCTATGCCAATGCCAAAGTCTACAGAAGAAGCTGATGATATGAGTGCTGTACACACAGAGGTAGAATCTGTCACAACAGTCTTGTAAGCACTACAGTTCTCAGAAGCTGAGGGACTTAGTGGTGTTAGAACAGCAGTATTACCACCAAAAGTAAAGAACTCTGGACGTTTAGAAACAACCTTCAATCCAGTAAGAGGACATTTGCTGACATTGACAAATTCTACATATGCTTTTCGGATTTCTCCACAGAGGAGCCCTGTAGGAAAATGTATAAAGAACACCTGCATTGGAGGGAAAAAATATTATTATATTATCTGTTAAAAATTCTGAACCTTTAATGAATAACAGTTTAAGATGCTGTATTTCTTGACTAAAGATTTATAAATATTTCATTAATTCTCTTTGCTAGCTCCTTGAATATATCACAATTAACAACTCCATTTTAGAAAATACGACAAGACAAAGTGACGAGTGTTACTCTGCCACTCAGTAGTAGATTCTGGAGTTAAAAATTAAAGGTACAAGGGTGGGGCTCTAAGACCAAAAAAAAAAAAAATTAAAGGTAAACTATCAATAACAAGAGGAATAACATGTCAAAACTTTTATAACTTTGTAGATTGTGACCAAGAAAAGTTACATGTAACTTAACATGGCTACATGAATTAATTACCAGTCTTATAACCATTATCATTGTTAACTTACATAATTTTAAAATCTAAAAAGCTCCAAACAACCTCAGGATTTTAGAAACTCATGTGAGGGCAAAACCTTACATGAATAATGGAGGCATTTTATAGCCTTTCCCATGTAGCGTGCTATATTCATATAATTCATTCAAAAGATATCAACGTGTTTGATTACCAAGTGCTGACATAAACCAACAGGAGTTACATGATACTTTATACACATTCCTAAAAAAAATTTGTTTAAAACTGACTGCCAACACACATCTGGCCTCAGATTTCAGGTACCGGATATGGACCTGTCATCCTACACATAGTGGTTATCACTGGTCTTTTCATTTTTTTGTTTCTTTTTTTTTTTTTAGATAGGTTCTCCCTTTGTATCTTTAAAATACAGGTTTTATTAAATATACCATGTTGACTCTTTGAGAAGAACAAGTACACCTGGCCTTTATTTCAAATGCACAGTTGCTGAGAGTAATTTTAAACAGCTGATATTTGTGACGGCTTCAAATTTAAATGTAAAACAAGACTAAGAACCTAGCAAACTCACTTCTAGTTTATCCTAAAGATATACATGTGTGAGTACAAAATGACATGCTATTCATTGTGGCATTATCTGTAACAGAAAATGAACACAAATCAAATGGTCTGGCTGAATAAATTATGGCACATATATACAACATAATGCCTGTGCAGGGGATATTGAAGGGATTTGCTCTTCTCTCTGCTTCTCTCTCTGTTAAAATTTTCCTAATGAAAAGTAACAAATGAAGAAAAAGTTTTAGGGTAACATCATTTTCTCCAATAGAACTTAAGAATAAAATATTTCTAATCCACAATTTCTAATAAATATGTACAGCTTATTAGCTTACTGTCTGCTTTCAGTATGCTGTATACACAGTAGTATTCATATGAATCATGTTATCTTCTCTCAATGAGTTTCAGTAACTTTCACCCTCACCTTTGTTTTGCTAACTACATATCATAAATTATTTCAGCAGACATTGTAGATGGGTAACTTCTTTCACTATTACTTTAAACATCTCAAATTCCATACAGTATTTATGACATAAGATATAAGGAATGAGAATATTTTATTAATACAAATTTTTAACCAATATTAATGTCTACCATTGTTTGTTCAAATATATTATAATACAAGGTCTTTTATCTGACTTCCATCATACCACCTTGTTGAACTAACCAACTTCTATTTATTCTCTTATTAGAAAATACTGGCCGGGCGCGGTGGCTCACGCCTGTAATCCTAGCACTTTGGGAGGCCAAGGCGGGTAGATTGCTCGAGGTCAGGAGTTGGAAACCAGCCTGAGCAAGAGCGAGACCCCGCCTCTACTATAAATAGAAAGAAATTAATTGGCTAACTAATATATATAGAAAAAATTAGCCAGGCATGGTGGTGCATGCCTGTAGTCCCAGCTACTTGGGAGGCTGAGGCAGAAGGATTGTTTGAGCCCAGGAGTTTGAGGTTGCTGTGAGCTAGGCTGATGCCATGGCACTCTAGCCTGGGCAACAAAGCAAGACTCTGTCTCAAAAAAAGAAAAGAAAAGAAAAGAAAAAACTGACTGATGTTTATGGAAATGAATATTAGTGGCTTTAGGTTTTCTAAAATGCCTACCATATTCTCCTTTTTAAGAGTCACTATTTGTTGCCAAACTTGTTTATACAAATTAAGTATTATCTAAACCACTTATAGCTATACCTGAAAGTATAGCTTTTATATATAGATAAAAATCTACACATATAATTATGTAGATATGGTTTAATGCATGAAAAAACGAAATGAAACTTATATTAAGAATCCTATATCAACACTCATAGAAAAGGTCTCTGCTCTAAATCTACCCCTGCCCCTCAATTGTGAATCAATGTATATCTGTAGGCATTTTTTTTTTTTGAGACAGAGTCTCACTTTGTTGCCCCGGGTAGAGTGCAGTGCATCATACCTCACTGTAACCTCAAACTCCTGGGCTCACAAGTGATCCCCCTGCCTGAGCCTCCTGAGTATTTGGGATACAAGGATGCACTACCATGCCTGGCCTTGAACTCCTGAGCTCAAGAGATGCTCCTGCTTCAGCTACCAAAAGTACTAAGATTAAAGGTGTGAGCTACCAGGCCCGGCGCCCTATAAGTTTTAAATTAAAGTAAAATATTTAGGGTGTGGACCTACTGATTTCTTTGTAACTTTAGAAGCTTTTTTTGTTTAATCAACCAAACACCAGTTGTTACTATTTAGAAAAGAGGTTCTCTGCTCGAAAATACCCTCTTGACACAGAACTGCATTTATAACAATAAAAGTTTTCTAAAAATATGATATGCAAGAAATAAAATTAAATAACAGAATTAGCAATATAAAAAACAAGATGAATGTAAATTTAACAGACTATTGAGTTCAGTACATTTAAAAATCAAAGATATCATCTGGTTCAACTTTCCTCATTTTATAAGTGAAAAAACATTCTAAGGCCAGATAATTAGGTATGAGGTTTAGATAGCCTAAAAGTAAAGCTCTGTCCTTAACAATGTTATCTGAGAGTAATACCTTTAAAAACCATTTGTACAATTACTTATCTTAATGATGAAGAATATTTAAATGACATAGTTTAATAAAAATTATAAGCTGGCAGAATCATTAAAAACACCATATTTTGGTATCCTCCACTAATTTATTTTGACAACTTTAACCACATGGATCAGAATCTTCCCTTTTGAATGTAGGCGCTAGCAAATTCTTACATATATAATTCCAAACAAAATGTTCATTAGTTAGTAACTTCTAAAAGATAATGGTGAATTCAAAATAACATCTGAATCCTTACTCATTTAACTTCATCTTCAGCTTTTTAATCCCTAGCTACAGCAATGCAATTTTAATCATAATTATTATTGTGGGAATTTGACAAGCTTGGACAAAAATGGCACGAGTATAAGAAAAAAGAAAAACATTAAAGATTATGAAAGAAACTTGGCTTGACAGATTTAAAAAACGTGATAAAGCAATAGTATAAAATTGATAAAGAAAGAAATGAGGAAGTATTATCAAAGAGAGTAGGTAACATCCAAAAAAGCAGGCATGGATACTTTCAAGAAATTAGTATAACAGAAAGATGACATAGTGAGTTGCCCATATTCTATTAATGATATTGGGACTAGAAACAAAGTTTCTAGGTGCTGCTGGCATCGTGATCCCAGGAGAACGTGGCAGATCCCGAGGCCGAGAGACATAGACCCAGTTTGGGCTCCCCATGGGTGAATTGGGACTGGCACTCCTCTCCCTGGTGGGGATATAATTTGAACTCTGGGGCCCAGAGGTCAGACCTGCAGACCAGATCTGGTGTACCCAGGACTCACATTGCCCGGGGCACAGGAGGGATATACCCGAACAGCCTACTGAAATGTGTGTGCCTTCAGGGGCAGATCAGTGTCTTAGAGGGCAACCCTCCTCCCAAAGGGAGGCCATGCGCCCAGCCCAGGTGGCGTTCCTGTGCAAGGAACCTCCCGGCCAGCATCACAGCTAGGGGAGGCCGGACAGCGTGAGGTCTAGCCTGCTGGCAGAGGCCCAGGAGTAGCCGCGGAGTTGGGGAGGGTGGAAAGAAGCGAGGCCTGCTCCAGACTGCAGGTCTCAGACAGCCCCTCCCTGACAGCTTTCCTAGAAGCAGAGAACAGAACTTTGACCCCTGCTAACGGCATTGGCAGTGTCTGAGGTCAGGCTTACCCAACCCAGGTCCGCCCAGAGTCTCTCCTAGACCAGCCCTCAGTGAGGGGGAGAAACGGACACACCTGGAAGTCCCCGGGCCCCACCAACCACCTGAGGGACTAGAGTGCCTCTCCAGAGGAACAAGAGCTGGTTACAGGACACAAAAACAAGAGCGTAGCCTGTTCCTCCAAGCAAGCGCCACCTACTGACAGGGAGGACATTCTGCACACCCATTTCACGGCACCTACTGACTCACCATACAGGGAGTGGCCGAATCTCACCCACAGACACCACCTACCGGCTAAGAAACTAAACAAAGCGTGTGAACACCCAAATGAAAACCTAAAGGAAAGAAGCAACAACTGATCAACATGAGAAGAAATCAGCGAAGGAACTCTGGAAATATGAAGGACCAAACGGAAACCGCATCCCCAAAGAGGAGCATCAGCCCCTTAGAAACGGATGCCAACCAAAATCAGGAAACCAAAATGACAGAAGAGGAATTTCAAATGTGGATCATAAGAAAATTCAACGACCTGCAATAACAACTCGATAACCAACACAAAGAAACCACAACAAGCCTCCAGAACCTGGAACAAAAATTCACTAAAGAAATCGATATAATGAAGAAGAGTTTAACCGAACTCCTGGAAATGAAGAATCAATTCAGGGAACTACAAAATATAGTGGAAAGCCTCAAGAACAGGGTAGATCAAACAGAAGAAAGAATCTCAGAGATTGAAGATAACACCTTCCAATTAAATAAATCAGTCACAGAGATAGAGCAGAGAAACAAGAGAAAAGAGAAAAGCCTACAGGAGATGTGGGATTATGTGAAGAAACCTAATGTGAGGGTCATAGGTTACCAGAAGGGAGAAGA